TAAGCAGAACTAATGCAAACTGTGAGTCATGCAGAGCTATTAGCATCTATAGTGAGTGAGGAAACCCATCTTTGTTTAGGCCTAAGGGAGATATATTATTGAATCTCTTGATGAATCCTAATTTAGCACTTTTGTGTTAAATTCTCAAACTTCTTTTGTAAAAGAACAATAGATCAGCGGCTGTATGTCCTGGATTAAAATGTCTCCCTGCTGGTTTCTGAATATTAAGAAAAGAGTCCTGCTGGATCAGACCAGGGACCCATCTAGTACAGCCATATTGTTTCACATAATGGTGAACCAGTTGCCCTGAAGGCCAACAGACAAGGCATAGAGACCAAGACAATTTTAATGCTAGATTTGTATCCATTTGTTCTTTTGCACAAGATCTGACCTACTTGTCCAGTGTAGACAGCAGAAACGAATTGCTGACCCACTGGAGGATGAAAAAGTGTATGAACCCAAGATAGAATGACTGAAATTGCTGCCAGGTCCTTGTAACAGTATTGCTTGTGTGCATATGGGGTCAAAATTGGCACCTAGGTTTGTTGCAGAATCTAGTTTGTGGGTTTGTATCTGACCCATTGGCTACCCACATTGTGCCACATCACTCCCCCACATCTCCAAAGACAAGATGCTCTTCTTCATGAATACAGAAGGATTATTGAAAACAGAGAGTTGTCCATCCACAAAGACATGGCTGACATGGGCCAGACTAAGATCCCGACACCCAACAATAAGATTTGCACAAATCCCGCAATCAAAAAATTTCATTCTAGGGAATGAATGTTTGCGAACATGAATACAATCAGTTCCACCTGATATCCATAACCTGATAAACACCAATTAGACGCTTGCAGGATTTGACTTACCATGTAAAGTATGAAAGACGGCTTAATAGAATACGAACAGGCTTTGGCAGTTGTGCACATGGGGCAAAATACCAAGACCCGAATGTAATTGTGGTGCAGCCTGCCAAACTTTTTTCCATCTGTCACAGGAATGTGAGCGTCATGCTTTCCAGGGAGATCTTTTAACTCTCCCCAGCTGTGGCTGAGTGGACTGAAAATCTAGATATTCTTATTTCGGGGGATTGCCTGATTGGACTGCATACCCATTGTATCAACTTGGTTACATATTTTAATAACTCTACCATATAGGGTTGCCAGCTCCAGACTGGGAAATACCTGGGGACTTGGGGGGTGGAACCTGAGGAGTGTGGAATTTGGGGAGGGGAGGGACTTCAGTGGGACATAGTGCCATAAAGTCCACCTTCCAAAGCAGCCATTTTCTCCAGGGGAACTGATTTCTGTTGCCTGGAGAGCAGTTGGAATCCCAGGAAGTGTTCCCTCTAAGCTGAGTTAGTGTGAGCTAGCTCAGTTTTTTAATACTCCAGCTCACACATTTTTGTCTTACCTCAGGAAGGATGGCTCCAGAGCAAACTAATTAATGCAGCAGACAAATCACTCGCTCACAACATTTATGCCAGTAGCTCAGAAAGCAGAATTTTTGCTCACAAGACTCCACAGCTTAGAGGGAGCATTGCCCAGGAGATCTCCAGCCACCACAAGGTTGGCAATCCTACTGCCATACGATAAATACATAAATAAAACAACTTTATTATGTTGTATGCTAATTTGCTGTTCACCCTGTCTATATGTATGAACTTGTTAACTTCCATTTCAATGTATCTGAGGACGTGTGCGTGAACACAAAAGCTCAATCCCTGAATAAAACCTTGTTGGCCCCAAAGGTGCTGTAAGACACAAGGAGGGGAAAACAAACTTGACCGTAAAGGTGCCACTGGACTCAAACTTTGTTTCCTTGACTGTAATTCCTTCTTCTGGCTGCAGAGCTCCCTCTGGTGGACAAATGTGTACATGAATTTCTTCACTTTTGCTCTTACCAAGAGGTACTTTCCCCTGGGTTTGGGGCTGAGCACGCAACTGGCTCAAAACTGATCCTAAGACCAGTACTTTTGGCTTCCGACTGGTTATGGAACAGAAACTGCCTTTGGTGTTTTGGTGGATGACCTTCACTGGAAGATAGGGGGAGTGTTCATCTTTCTGACTCTCTCTATAAATGAAGTAAATAAATGAATGAACAAATCCCTCAGGAGCCATGGTAGTTTTGTGTTGCTGACATAACAAGCAATTAGAATCACCAACAAACTGTGGGGAAACAAATGCCAGGGTACATCTTGAAGAAATATAAACCTACGCAAAACCAGCTTGATTAGAAAGAATACTAGACTAGGAGTTGCTTTTTTCTTAAAGGATTGCTCCAGGAGCAGTGACACCTACACATTGGGCTGCCAACCTCCAGATGGGGCCTGGAGATCTGGAATTACAACTCATCTCCAGGCTGTAGAGATCAGTTCCACTGGAGACAATGGCTGCTTTGGAAAGTGGACTCAATTGTATTATAGAAGAGTTGGATTTATACCCCACCCTTCACTTGGGAGTCTCAGAGCACTTTATAATCTCCTTCCCTTCCTCTCCCCGCAACAGACACTCTGTGAGGTGGGGCTGAAAGAACTGCTCTTGAGATAACAGCTCTGGGAGAACTGGGACCCAAGGTCACCCAGCAGCTGTATGTGGAGTTCCCCACTCCTCAAACCCGGTTCTCCAGATTAGTCCGCTGCTCTTAACCACTACATCAAACTGGCTCCCTACCAGTGTTCCCTCTAAACTGAGTTAGTTTGAACTAGCTCAGTTTTTTAGCCTCCAGTTCACACATTTTTGTTTTCGCTCAGGAAGGATGGTTCCAGAGCAAACTAATTTATGCAGTAGCCAAATTGCTCACTCACAACTTTAATGCCAGTGGCTTACAAAGCAGAATTTTTGCTCACAAGACCCCACAGCTTAGAGGGAGCATTGCTCCCTACCCTGCTGTGGTCCTCCCCAGGTTGCACCCCCAAGTCAGGAATCTCGAACCCAGAATTGGCAACTCTACCTACATAGTACTACCTTAAGAACTTTTAATAGAGTAGGTTAAAATATTTTAGAATAATATAAATACGTTTAAATAAATGAATGGGTATGCTGTGTTTTAGCATGGTGTCTGTCATGAAAATACCCGATTCAGATCGCTAGTCCATCTAATTCAGCACATCTTTTTTACAGTGACTTCTGGAAAGGCCACAGACTGGGCATGAAAGCATTAGCCCTTCTTCTTCTCTTACCTCCTCCAGCAATGGGTATTCAGAGGTACACTGCCTCTTTCTGAACCACTGAACTGCCAGAGCTAGCAGGCACTGCTAGATTCACAGTGCAATCTTAAGAACAAAGTTTGAATCCAGTGGCACTTTTAGGGCCAACAAAATGTTATTACTGGCATAAGCTTTGTGTGCATGCACCCTTCTTCAGATACAATCTGAAAAATACTTTCTTGGGTGGAACTTAACTGAATAGACTTCTGTAGGATTCTAAGTACGCCTGCTACAATTGTGCTGTTATTCCCTATTTAAAGCTGTCTAAGATAGCATCCATCCCCCCCCCCCTTTGTGGCAGTGAATGCCTTAAAATATGAAGGCATTTTTACAATCCTGGTAATACCCCCAAATCAGTCAGTGAGGCCCTACCTTTCTTTGCATTGCATATGACCCGATACCACAAATGGGGTATGTATGAATATCCCAAATCCCATAAATCAGTGGACAAAGCACTCCACTTCTTCTAAAAAAACAACAACAACCACCCTATCATTCTGAGCCACAAAGCTTTTTTGACTCACAATTTTCCTCCATTTTAAAGATTGCTAAATGGAGCAACAATAATAATATCTGTGTGGTCTTAACTGGATTAGACCCTTAACGGGCCCATGAGATAGAAGAACAGTCCAGAATAGGTTTTGGATTAAGTTATGGATGCCATTTAAAGACTATTAAATTAGGATTAATCAATTGTTGATTTTAATATGCAATTTTATATTGTTTTTAACCTGTTGTAAATCACCCAGAGCCTTGTGTACTCATGGATTGGGCAATCCAGAAATTTAATAAATAATAGGGTTGCCAGCCTCCAGGCGATCTCCCGCTTTTACAACTGATCTCCAGCTGACAGAGATCAGCTCCCCTGGAGAAAATGGCTGCCTTGGAGGGGGGACTCTGTGGCATTGGACCGGGCTGAGGCCCCTCCCCTCCCCAAACCCCGCCCTCTCCTGGACCCACTCCCAAAGTCTCCAGGTATTTTCCAACCCAGATCTAGCGACCCTAAATAATAATAATAATGAGAATACCCCACCAGTCCCTGTTTTTCAGCGGCTGCTCCTGTCAACAGCTCCCCTCATTTTGCCTTCTGGGGAAACTGGGGGAGATACTTCAGACACCGTTAGTGTGTTTAATGGAGATCTATTGAAAACCCAGGAAATCTCCAGGTCCCGTTTGAAAGCTGGCAACCTTGCTGCAGGGAGGTGTGGCCATACAGAACATAAGGCACGGGTGGCCAGGGCAGACGCAGGCTCGACTGACCCACCATCAAACGCCGACTGCGAATGGCGCCTTAACTGACAGGACTCTGGAGCAACAGTTAACGGCCGCCTTTCCCGTCAGCCATTACGCGCTTCAATAAAAGGCGGGGATTCTACTGCGCACGCGCAAGACTAGCCGCCCGCCCAAGACTGTGCAGGAAAAAACCTCACTGATGTGTTCCCCTGGCCGTGCCCCCCTCAGTAGGCAGAGGCGGAGAAACTGTAAAACGAAAGTCCCCTTGCCTTCTCCTCTCATGAGGCCACCAAAACCTGTTCTCGTATCAGCTTTCGCTGAGTCAAAGCCTCCGTCTAAGAGTCTGTCTCTGGTCTTCGCTTGATTTCTGTGCCCGACAAAAAGGGAACGAAGGAAGGCGCAGCCTGAACTTCCGGTAAAAGCGGGTCGCCGGTGTCGGCCATGATCCCCTCCAGGTGTGGAGTGGGGCCGCTCTAGCCCTTGACACCTCTATGGTGAGATTAAAGGCTCAAACCCGATTGCGGAAGTGCCTCTGCGGACAGATATAAAAAAATGATAAGCCCGCGCTATTTCTATGGAGGCGTCAGTCGACGCCATGGTGACGTCAGGAGAAGCCCAGCAAGCATGGCGGCCCTGCGGCTGCTCTCTTCTCTAACCAAGCCCCCTCGTCTCAGGTGCTGCCTCCTCGCTCAAGCAAGTGTGGCGCGCTTTCCCGAGGCCGCGCCCTGCGCCTTGTCCAATCGCCATGAGCCTCCGTACCCCTCGCCCCAAAGTGCGCGGAGGCCTCTCAGCACAATCTCCGCGGATGGCCTGGTGCGTGCGGCTCCCGCCTCTCTTCAACCTTACCTACGCCTCATGAGGTTGGATAAGCCCATTGGTGAGTTTAGTTGTCACTCTATCATCTCTGCCTCCTCCCACACAGTTTCCGCCCTGTGATTGGATTCTTTGCTTGGGACTTAGCGAAGCTCAGCAATCTCATTGGGGATTCCAGTTGTCACTCAAGGGTCAGAAACGGGAAGTGTAACAGGCTGTGTCGCCTGGGTGTAGATCTGTAGAGAGTGGGGGGAATGACTTTATCCTCGAATATTTTCTCAAAAGCAAAATCGATTCCTTGGATTTACTTCCAACTATACTTAGTACTGGAATTTCTGGCTATAATTGTGCGGGGTAAATTCCATGTGCCCTTATGGGACATGCTGAGGGTGTGGTGAACTGGTTAGACAGCATTGGCTTAAAACTACAGACAGGCAGTGTCAAATTCCCTCTTGGTCATGAGACTCACTGGTTGACCCTAGGCTCGGGTTACCATATTTTCAAAAGCAAAAAAGAGAACATATTTCCGACTGCCTACTTCAAACAAGTGATCACTATGACAAATCTCATTTTAAATACCACTACTATTTAAGCGGTGATAATTGCTACTAACTAGAAATATTCCTAGCCTTCCATCAGTTTTTTAAAAAGAGCCCAAAAGAGACTGGACAGCAAAAAAAAAAAAAAAAAGAGGACCTCTGGTAACCCAACCCTAGGTTAGTCACCTTAACATACCTTCAGGAGCTGTTGTGAGAATGAAATAGGTGAGGTGAGAAGAAGCTTCATAGAGAAAGGATGCCATCAAAATAATGTAAGAAAATTTGAGTCCGTGGCACCTTTAAGATCTTAAAGGTGCCTCTGGACTCAAACTTTGTTCTGTTGCTTCAGACCAATATGGCTACCCACATGAATAAAAAAATATGTGTGTTTCTGTGATTAAATATGCATTGGGTAAAGGTAAAGGTTCCCTTGCTCGAAAGCCAGTCTAATCCGACTCTAGGGTTGCAGTGCTCATCTACATTTCAAAGCCGAAGAGCCAGCGCTGTCCGAAGACGTTTCCGTGGTCATGTGGCCGGCATGACTAAACACCAAGGCGCACGGAACGCTGTTACCTTCCCACCGAAGTGGTACCTATTTATCTACTTGCAATTTCTTGCTTTCGAACTGCTAGGTTGGCAGGAGCTGGAACTAGAGACGGGAGCTCACTCCGTCATGCGGCACCCAGGCACCGAACTGCTGAACTACTGACTTTCCGCAGCCGCAAGTGCAACTCTTTAACCACTTGAGCCACCACAGCCTGTAAAATGTAAAAAAAAATGTAAAATGTAAAAAGCCTGTAAAAGACTTGCCTGTAAAATGCTTAGTACAAACCTTTATTCCTCAAAGCCCTTTTAGTTGGCTAGGAGAGCCTGCTGCTTTTAACTGCTGGCTTGTTGTTACCCTTCTTTGGGCTTCCTCTTTAGCTATTACTTTCTAACAAGACCTGGTACAATTGTGATTCCTGCCTTGTAGAACACATGGAACATTATAGATGAATCTTGATAGTTGGCTGCTCTGGCACTCGGGCTTCTACAAGAGAAGTGGTTTTCTAATCATTAGATATGGCCTTTAGGTTCCTGCCTCATTGACACATTCTCATTGTGATAATAAAGTGGAAGATTGGAGAGCCTCTTTATGTCCTCATTGGGGAGAAAAGCAGGGTAGAAATGAATTAAGTAAATAAATAAATAAATAGTATCTATAATTGTGATTTTCTTTAGAGGTATATCAAGATGCTTCCTACTTCAAAATCTATACATGAATGTTGCCATCTTTTCAACTGGTCCTCGTTCCTGTGTCTCCAATCCTAGCTTAATGTGGATGCACTGGCATGCAGATATGCATCTCTGTGTTGTGGAAAGCTCCTGTAGACATATGCTCATCAAGCTATCTGCTCAGGAGCAAGCCAGGTTCTGGTTAGCTGACAGGTTCTGGTTAGCTGATAGATTCAGGTGGGGCAGCCGTGTTGGTCTGAAGCAGCAGAACAAAGTTTGAGTCCAGTACCACCTTTAAGACCAACAAAATTTTGTTCAAGGTATGAGCTTTCAGAGGACGGCGGAAGACAGGAAGGCCTGGCGTGATCTAGTCCATGGGGTCGCGAAGAGTCGGACTCGACTGTGCGACTGAACAACAACAATGAGCTTTCATGTGCATGCATGAAATCTGAAGAAGCACCTGAAGAAGTGTGCATGGACACGAAAGCTTATACCCTGTGTGGTGAAACGGGGACCCACCCTCAGTCCTGGGAGACTGAGGTGCCGTCCTGTGGCTCGCAAGCCCCTGTTTTGGCCTTCCCACTCTGCCTGGTGGGTCTATTTCTCTTCATTAAACGCTGCCACCACTCACTGAATTGAGTTACTGCCTTCCTTGAGGGACAGTGAGACCCCTCTGGCTAAATTCCCCACCTTGGGAAGGGGGTACCTTGATCTTTGGGCGCCCCCTGGAGAGTTGGCAACCCCTCAGATTTAGGCCCGTTTGTGTTCCCTGGCCTCCCTTTGCCCCTGGTAACATGCAGAGCGGGGAGGACTATGTAGTTAAGGCACACCAGGCTTTTTAAACTCTAAAAAGGAAGATTTATTTAACTACATGCATATTGGGCACAGAAAATAAACACAGGCACTTCAACACAACTGGGGCACAGAAAATAAACAGGATAAAAACGCAATTCCTCTGTCCCTACCCACACACCCCTCTCTCTACTCTCTGTAGTGGATTGTGACCTCAGGCCTGGATTTGCATTTCTCCCTCCTGCTGTGGGGAGAAACTCCAGCCCTCCTCCTCAG